CAGGGTTAGCACAAGGAAGGGCAAACCAGTAGGAAAAACAGTGCTCCTGTGTGTTCAAGGTCAACCTGCCATACACCTGGGTTGGCAGTAATGAATCGAGCTTAGACTGTCTGATGGCGTTTTGCTGGGCAGCTACCGGGGGTGGAGTTAAATCCACCTGAATGAAACTTGCAAGGTTTGGGAGATGTTCTCTGGTATATGGAGGTTTAACCTTTAGTTCAATAGAGCAAAGTTTAATAATAGGAGTGTGTCCTAAAGACTACACTTTCGGATTTTCCCATTCTAGGTATAGAATGTGACATTTATCCTTAAAACATGGCAAACTGCTTCAACGCAGTGTATCACTGACCTGTCCAAAAATAGCTGTAGAATGTCCAAAGGCTCCAAGTGTCCCACCAGCTTCAAAACTCCTTGGAGTCAGTTTATGTATGAATCCCATGTGGTCATAGTATAATGTGAAAACTCTATCAGTAATAGATCCAATTTTACTGTAGGTTTCTAATCCTGTTAGGAAAGAAACAGAAGTCTCTTGGTATTGATTTAACGTAACCAGAGAACTTTTAATGGTGTACTTTGTAAAAACTCCTTCCTTTAAACTAAGGGGTGGGAACAGGGCCCCGGGACTCCGGAATTAATAAAATACATGCTGGTCTTTGTTAAGTCCCGAGGAAGTCTTTTCCAGGCTCCATTTCGTTAGGGAATCTGCTTGCTGAAGTAGGCGAAGGACAGACAGAGCGAGCGGATGTTAAAGGTGTCTAGAAGAAAAGCGCTTAGCTCCAGCTGGCAGCGGTGTCGCTTCCTAACACCAGGATGTCAGATTCCAGAATAGGCTGAAGGCAATGAGAAAATAGCCCTCAGGAAGGCCAGGGGAATCACAGTGGAGACCACCGGATCAAAAGCTCTGTTAGGTGTTTCAGGTTTGCTCTCCTGTGTTTCTCTCATGCCACAAGGCGACACGTTGAGAAGTCCTGGGAGTGCTCTGGTGGGACCTGACTGTTCAAGGTCAATTGTGGGAGGGAGGGAATCCAACCTGCCGTAACCCTGGGCTGGCAGTAATGAATCTAGCAGCATTCTTGTAACCAGACACAGGTCCAGAGAAGGAGAGAGCCCCGGACACAGGGTGGGGCCAGAGGGAAAGCTCAGGTCTCAGGATGAACAAGACTGATTTTCACCCCCACTTCCCCTCAACCCTTCCGAGCTGGGCTGGGCTCTGCTGAGGAGTCCACCCCCCCCCGCCCTGACCCCTAAACACAGGAGTACCCTAGCTCTCAGGTCTTATCTCTCTTGTCTCACTGTCTCTAGAGATCTCATCGAGTTTTAGGATATAAAACTCATCTTTATGTCGATGACTCCCGAATTTAAACCTGCCATCTCGTTGTCTTCCCTGAACTCCAGGTTTATATCCAAATGTGCAGTGACAGCCTCAGATCCATGCCAGTCAGGCTCTGAAGGTGGCTCCAAACTGGACTCACCGCAAACTGAACTCCTAACCCGTAAGCAAACCCCCCTCATCCTCAAGCTTCCTCATTTCCACTAACGGCACCTGCATTATTCCTGTTGCTCAGTCCGAAAGCCCTGGTGTCATGCTTAACCCCTCTCGTCCCCATACCCTATATCTACTCCATCAGCAAATGCTATTGATTTTAGCCTCAAAATATATAGAGAGCCCAACCACTTCTCACCACCGCCACCCTGTACAAGCCAATCCGATGTGAGAGGAAGAGATTTATCATGAGGAATTACTCGTGCAGTTATGGAGGCTGAGAAGTCCTATGATCTGCCATCTGCAAGCTAGAGAGTCAGATACCTGACCACCGGGGAGCCGACGGCCAAAGCCTGAGGACTGGGGGGCCACTGAGGCAAGTCCCCATCCCAGGGCAGAAGACCAACGTCCCCGGTCAGCGGTCAGGCAGACAGGCAGGAAGCAAAAAGGGTGATTTCCTTCTTCCCCTGCCTTTTGGGTCTACTCAGGCCCTCGGGGGACGGGATGGGCCCCCCACCCTGGGGAGGGCCATAGGCTTTACTGAGCCCATCCTTTCAGATGCTCATCTCACCCAGCACACCCCTCACAGGCGCACCCGGAAATGATGTTTAATCTGGACCCTCTTGGCCTTGTCAAGCTGACACACAACATTAACCATTACAGTCGCTAAGGTTTGATATGCCACATTTCATTTATAAACATAAGCTATATATTTTTTCACATTTTCACATCCTGTAAATCGATGCACGTTTTATAATTGATGTGTCTTATAGTCGTCGTCCAGCAGGTGGCACTCACGCCATAGCGCTCAATCGGCTGCACTTGCACGAACTTTGTCTCAGCTCCTTCTTTGCATTGTCGTCGCTTTGAATTTCCTGAATCGCTGGCGTAAGGCGTGTTGAGTTTTATTGCTACTTAAAATGCCTTCGAAAATATTTCATTGTGATTTGACATTGAAACAGTCGTTGTGGGTGCAGTACAAGAGGAAAACAAAGCAGGGCATAGAGTCACAACAAAGCAAAGTGTGGCCAGAAGAATGACAAGTCCATAGTTTCTTGTAGAAACACCACCAAGGACTTTGTAGGACCTCAGAAAGGTGGAAGCTCGCCTTCAGTGAGTTTGCAGATGAAATGGCATGTAGTAGATGAACTTGCATTATGTTTTACTACGGAGGTGACATGCAAAATTTGCCTTATTAGACACCAAGCAATGCAACTACAGGCAGAGGAAATAATGTCACAGTAATCATCTATGCATCACGCAGGATGCATAGTTAAAACAGTGCATTAAAGTTGAATTGGAAGAGTTTTTTTGTTCTTTGTTTTAACAAGGTTCATTTTACAGTCAATAAACCTCAGATATGATGAACTATAACGTTTATAACATTCTTCTATTGGCTTTGCAGATCAGTAACTGGTTGAGGTGGCTCCAAATTCTTAGGTAATATTATTTTTCTCTGAAGGTACTTTAGATGAACATGTAGCATTCACTGTTGCAGCAGAAAATCCGAGACTGGCTTGATTTTTTTGGTGCCTTTAAAACTCATTTGCATTTTCTATTTCAAATAACTCAGAAATGTTTTTGCTTTTATAGAGAGAAACACCTTTGCAGTTTCTCAATCTTTAGCATCTATATTTGTCATTTTATATTCTTTCCACTTATTGGATTTTTATTCTGCATGGGGACATGTCTCTATAGTTTACATCTATAATTTGTAAGAGTTTAGGATCTTTATTGCCAATTTAGTTTAGTTTTCTTAGGTGTTAAGTATGTTTACTATTTCCAAAGTCACCGGGCTTAGTCCATTCTGATTTTTGTTCCTCAACATGTGCTGTTTGCTCTCTGCTCGCCCATCCCTTCAGGTCCTCTTGGGCTCCCTCCTTCTTGCCAGGTGCACTGGAAGGCTGACCCCTGAAGTGCAATGCTCATGCTCTGTTTCTAGCTGGCTTCTGGTTGCGTTTGACCAACGAAAGGCACTAGCAGGAGATATGAACAAGGAAAGGAGAGAGAAGTCTGTCTGCCTGTCTGCCTGTCTATGTGTCTGTCTACCTACTACCTACCTATTATCTATTTGCATTACCCCTTTAATCAAAGGGACTGTAATGACTTTCTTCCATTGCTAGTCTTGAGATGTTTTACTATCATTGTTGGTTCCTTTAACTCTGTCCACGGCTCTTCCGGTGAAACACTTGAGTGGAATTATGTTTCCAGCCAGGACCTCAACTGATATCTTTTATTTTATTTTATCGGGAATGTCCCTGGAAAACAGAATATCAAGGTGGGATCCTGGGACTGAGTAGCTCACGCAGTGAAGGGATGCACAGATGACCTCTTCTGCCTGGTAGGTATTGTGACACTTGCAATCCCTAGCAAGCAAGGGCATCACAATTACTCAGATTGTTACTGGTAGTAGATGAGGTGGGGTGCCTGTGAAGGCCAAGACTTTAGGGAAAATAGGCTGTTGTACTTAACTACAACGACAGTCCTGGTTTTTACAAAGATTGTGGGGGTGGGATAAAATTTATGGATATATTAGAGAGCTTACCAAAAAAAAAAAAAAACAAAAAAAAACCTTCCCCAGCCAGCGTGGCTTGGCAGTTGAGCATCGACCTAGGATCCAGGAGATTGCAGTTCGATTCCCAGTGAGGGCACATGCCTGGGTTGCGGGCTCGATCCCCAGTGGGGGGCATGCAAGAGGCAGCTGATCAATGACTCTCATCATTAATGTTTCTATCTCTCTCTCTCCCTCTCTCTTCCTCTCTCTGAAATCAATAAAGATAAGATTAAAAAAATAAAATAAAATAAAGCTTATGACCTTGAATATCCGCTCGAGGCCAGAGTAGAGAACCTAATAACTTTACGGGGAAAAATAAACCTTACCTCATACCACACACACACAGTTAGAAATTTTATGTAAATCTATATAAGAAATAGAAAACAATCTGCCAGAAGAGAACAGGAGAATCTCTTCTTTAGAACACACAAAAATTTCTTAACAGGGCGTAAGAAGCAAGAAGCACTAATCATAAAAGAGTCATAATTTTAACTGTTAAAAATGACTAATTTTGCTCATCAAAAGATACCACGAAGAGAATTAAAAAGACAAGGAAGTGGTTGGGAAAAGATGTTTGCAAGTCACATTTCTAACAAAGGACTCATATCCATAATACATTAAAAACTCACAGAAATCAGCCTGGCCAGTGTGGCTCAGTGGTTGAGCACCGACCCAGGCACCAAGAGGTCACTGCTCGATTCCCCGTCAGCGCACATGCCTGGGCTGCGGTTTTGATGCCCAGTAGGGGGCGTGCAGGAGGCAGCCGATCGATGCGACGATGTTTCTCTCTCATCAATGTTTCTCTCTCTCCCTCTCCTTCTCTCTCTAAAAATCAATAAAAACATATTTTTAAAAGCTCATAGAAATCAGTAAGAAAAAGTCAACCCAATCAAAACTTGATGTACAAAGAACCTGAGGACATAATTTACCAAAAAAAGATATAAAATTGGCAGACGACCACACGAAAGCGCGCTCAACATCATTGCTCATGTGAATTAAATCCTCAGGGAGATACCATTACATACTCAGCATGGAAAAGACTAACAATACTAAGTGCTGGTGAGAAGGGGAGCAGCCGGGATTCCTTCCCATTGCTGGCCGGACAGTAAACTGACACTCTCGCTTTGGAAAAGTGTTGGCAGCGCTTACGTTTTCCCACCAAAAGCTAAACAAACATATACCGGGCACGGCAGCAATTCTATCCCTAGGTGTATACCAAACCAGCGAAAGCTCTGTCCAGCAAAAGCCTTAGGCAAAAATGTTCACGGCTACTTTTTTATAATAGGCTTCGAATGGAAATGGTTCAAACAGCCATCAGCAGGGGAACGGATGAAAACATTAGAGCACATTCATCCAGGGGAAGGCTGCGCAGCGGGGAGAAAACAAAGTCCTAACACGCGCAGCAGTGTGAAGGGGCCTCAGAGCTATAACGTTGACTGAGAAAAGTCAGATGCCAATGAACATATACTGCATAATTCTACTTATATGAAGCTCAAAACCAGGCAAAACTATGGGCTTAGAGGTCAGAGTACTGGCTGGCCTTAGCGGTACACGGCAGGAAGGTGGCTTAAGGGAGCCTCCTGGGGTATTGGAAAGGGTCCGAGGCTCCCTCCGCTTCCCAACCCCTCCTCCCCATGCTCAGAGTCATTTTGGTTTCTTTCATAATCATATGATGGCTGATTGTCAGATTCTTACATGCTTTTGCACAAATGCTTCAGACAAATAAACCACAAAGGTGACCTTGATACCAGCATAAACTGAGCAAGAGTTTTATTGACATAACCAAGATTAAGCAACCGCAGCGGCGAAGACGTGGGGAAACAGAATCAGAATTCTGTGGTCTCCTTAGCCTTGAATTAGGAAGGACCAACAGAGATTTTATGGGGATAAAACAGATTCTGACAGTGAGCACCAAGGGTACAACACTAAGGTCCAAGGAACCAGGCTTTTGAAGGCAGATCAGAAACCTTTAAAAAGCTTGTTGTTTAAAATCGTATCAGAGACTGACAAGACCAGAAAAAAACACAACAGAACGGTTTTAAGCTAGACGGTCAAGAATGCTGACAATGTTAAAAACAAACCGAAAGAAAACCGGTCTCACGCTTGACTTGGAGACAATCAGTGCTTTCCCACTCTGGCTAGACCTTATCAGATATCCCCAAGTTTACCCCCAGTCTCCAAACTTACTCAATACTCTATAAAAGTGCTCCTCGAGCATCGCTGGGGAGACTGTATTCTGAAGGTAAGCTCCCTTGCCTGCTAAGCTCCTGAGTTTCTGCATTACTTTTCTACAATCTGTACCTTCATTATCCTCTGAACACCTAACAAAGCGATGAAAACATGACCTCTTTGATGAAAGCATGACCTTGTATTAGGCAATGTTTCCTTAGATATGACACCCAAACCACAAACAACAAAAGGAAAAACAGATAAATTCAGCCAACAAAATTTAAAATGTTTGCACCTCAAAAAGCACCATCACAGAAGTAAAAAAATTACCCACAGAATGAGAGAAAATACATGCAAATCATATATTTAATAAGAGACTTATATCCAGAGTATATGAAGTACTCTCACAACTCAACACTAAAAGCAATGAACCCAAATAACCCAATTTTTAAATGGACAAGGACTTTGAAGACTTTTCTCCAAAGAAGGTATCTACAAACGGCCAACAAACACACGGAAAGATGCTCAACGTGATTAGTCATTCAGCAAATGCAAACCCAAAACACGAGAAACAGTTCTCACCCACTAGAGCTGCTGCACTAAAGACAGACAATGACAGCCGTCGGCGAGGACGGCGGAGAGGTAATCCTTACGCACGGCTGGCAGGGGTGGAAAATGGTACCGCTACAGTTCGACAGTTCCCCAAAATGTTAAACGTAGAGTTAACCTGTCACCTAGCAGCTGGACGCCTGGGGACATACTCAGGAGAACAGAAAGCATATTGCTACACAAAAACTTGCACACAAATGTTCGTAATAGCATTACTCATAAGACGCAGAAGTGGAAAAAACATCAACCCAAATATCCTGACAAGGGGATCAACAAAATGTGTTGCATCCATACAATGAAATATTAGTCAGCCTTGAAAAGGAAGGAAGCACCGATGTGCGCTGCTGCATGGATGAAACTCGAAGGCAGCATCTTAAGTGAACTAACCCAGTCACAAAAGGACAAATGCTGCCTGATTCCACTCACGGGAGACCTAGAACAGTCAAAGTCGGGGACTGTGGGGAGGCGGGAGGGGGAGTGAAGTGCTTAAAGGGTAGAGTTTCAGTTTTACAAGGTAGAAGGAGCTCTGCACGTGGAGGGTGGGGACGGTTGCTGAGTGCTTTGCACGTATTTAATGGGACTGAGCTGCACACTTAAGAATGGCCAAGGTGGTAAATTTTGTGGCATGTGTATTTTACACAATTTAAAAACCTAACGCTCTTAATAGGCTTTCGACTTCAAGGTTAGCTGATGAACGTGGTCGACTTTCTCCTGCCTCCTCCGACCCCGGCTCACGCACCGTGCTTGCAGCAGGAAGGGTGAGCTCCTCACCTGCCTTCGTCAGGTAAACGTGTCCGCGTTGGGTGACGAAAGTAATGTCGGAAGTGTAGAAACTGTGGTAAGTATTCTTTATGATATCGTCATGAAAGTCCGCTAGCAAGTCGAAAGTGTTGCCACCGTCGACGGAAAGCCAGGCCTGAGGCAATACAAGGAGGACACCCCGTGAAAGAGCTGCCGCGCCACGGTCAGCGGTTACCCACCAGCCTAACCGCCCCACGCAGGAGAATTCCCGCAGCGCGGCCTTTTCCCATCCCCGCATCCGCCCGCCCCTCCCACACGCGTGTGCGCAGAGCCCTCGGCCGCCCGTCTGCCCTGCAGCCCCCGCCTGCAGCCGGCACCAAGGGGCAGCTCTTCCCACCGCCTCCGCCGGGCGCCTCTGCGAGCGGGGCAGAGCTCAGCCCGCACGGACACGAGGCGCCGCGTGCCAGGCGCCTGGCAAGGGCGGATGCCAACGCCACCGTCTCGTAAGAGTTGTTTAAGGATGAGTCAGAGCACGTAGAGGACGAATCCTGCCTGGGACTTCTAGTAGCCTAAGTCTTCTTCAAATGAATATTTCTGCCTCTTAATTTTTTCTTAAAAATTAATTTTAGTGGCAAGTTATACCTGAGAACAGGCTCTTCTTAAATTTAAAACATTGTAATGTGGCCCAAGTCTCTTTGACCACCGACCAAATAATTCTTTTATACTTCACCTGATATAATTGTGGTCTCTGCTCTCCCTTCCCAGAGGTGACCACTGTTTCCATTCGAAAATTCTACATTTTACATTCATATGTATATAATAGGTCCAGTATATATCTGGGCGCAGCACTGACCTTTCGGCTTGGGCAAGAGGGACCCTTGTCCTGGACTGCATACTTAGTGTGTCTGCATGTTACAAACACGCAGAGAGAATTTATTAAATAACCATGGGTCTTCCATCACGCAGGAATATTGCTGGCATAGCACAATCCGTGTCCTAAACATATGATATGGAAGCCTCCATTTCACTCTTGCTTTGGACGCTACAAATGTTACCGGTGGGCACGGTGGTGGGTGGGAAGGGAAATATGAGCAATATGCTGAAAATGGCATCCTACGGAGCCTGTGGTTCTGTAAGCACATCTGCCGCTCAGTGTATCGCAGATCATCTTGTTAGCTCACGTGGATCTTCACGTTCTTCTGTACCGACGCACGGCACCCAATATTATGGCCCTATCGTACTTAAGATACTCTGTTCTCCTCCTAAGGGACACTCGCAGCTTAGAGCAAAACGTTCGCTGCTACACGGCTACAGCGAACGCTGGGCCTGCTTGTTGGCGCTAATGTGAAGGCGCACCCCCGGGGCAGGTGCTGAGAGGCTAAGCTGCTGAGGCCGGCTGTGCACTCGTCTGTAATTTTAAGCGGCACTGCCACAGTGTTCTTGAATTTCGCTGAGCCAGTTTGTGTTCTTAGGGGTAAGGTATGAGAGTAACCTTTTCTCCGAACCTCACCAATACTTGATATTATCAACATTTTATTTTTAACTTTTGACTGATTACTTGAATGAAAACAATGGCGTTTTCATTGCGTTTTTCTAAATATTTTTAATTATTTATCTACTTAGGGCTCACTTGTATTTTTCTTATGTTATTTATTTAATAATATAATGAACGTGTGGGAACTGAGAGCCTAGCCCAAGGATTAGCATATTGCTGACCCTTTACCTTTTCCCGTGTGTTTCTCCCCAATCCTGTCACCCTGTCTCTTTCCGCAGGGATATCCAACGTCCTGAAAATTTGTGCTTCTCGTTCCCTTGCTATTTTTTTCCCTTCAGTTTTAGCACCTATGTATGTTTACTATATTGCTTGATTTTAGGTTTTTTTTGCTCTTTATATTCTTTTTTTGGTACAAAGGTATTGCACCACATATTGTCTGTCTTCTAGAACTTACTCCCCCCCCATATCATTTACTTATATTCATACATTTTGCATGTGGTTCAGTTAATTTGCTTTCCCATTGCTGTGTAATAGTTCATTATGCGAATAACATGTAATCTATTCACTCTGCTGATCGTGGGCATCCGGATTCTTGTCAGTTGTCCATCCATTAACAAAGCTGTGATGACCATTTCTAAGGGTTTCCTCACATATATGTTTCCTTGCCAAAAAAGTGACACTGGTGGGTCACGGAATAGGAAAACATTAACATTTACAGGGTAACAGTAATGCCAAACTGCTTTCCGAAAAAGTGGCCGTGACTTGCTGCCCCGTCACAGTGTCTGAGAGAGCCACGGCGGCCTCGGGGCGCCGTCGGAATCAGCCCGCCAGTCACACAGCTTAAAGCGATATCCCGCTGCGTCCTCGGTTGGCAGGTCCCCGCTGACTTGGGAATTATACCATCTCCTCACGTTTATTCCATTTGTATTCCCTTCTCTCCAAAATGCCCATTTGTATTTTTTTAAATCAATCTAGCTATTTTAAAAAACCAGTTTAGCTTTTTCTTACATTGCTTTGTAGGAATTCTTTATTTATTCTTGCATATAATTCTTTCTCAGTTGAATGTGCTGCAAATATGATCTCCCGGTCTGTGTTTTCACTGTGTCTCACGATGTGTTTGATGAACAGAATTCTCTTCCCCCTTCTCCTTTTTTGGTTGTTTTAGTAATCTGTACGTATCTTTTAGATTTTCTACATAGACAGTCATATCTTTTGACCATATCTTTTAGAGTTTGTTTTCTACTTTGTAATATCCATGCCTGAGTTTTTCCCCTGGTCTTCCTGCACTCCCTCTGTGCGCTCCTTCACTGCTTGGTAGTTTCCTGGTGGACCTCCAGCTGTGGTTACATAAGCTCTGTCTTCCGCGTCACGCGTGCGCCCCCACGATCGAGCCTGGAGGGGAGGCGGCCGCGATGCTGACCTGCTCACGCTCTAAGTCCTGCGCGCAAAGCTCAAGCAGCCACACTGCGTCCCTCGGCTCCCCCTCCCGCCCTCCTCCGCAGCTGTTCTACTCTGTCCTCTCTTTCCTCGAACCCCCGACACTCCTCCTCCATTCTCCATCTCAAGTAAGGACTTGGATTTCTCTACTGAGAAAACAGAAAAGAAGTTCCCATACGCTTCCATTACCACAGCCATCCACCCACCAGCTTCGCACCCATAAGCTCCTCCTGCTCCCGTTACTGCAGGACAGCTGTCCCCCTAAGGCCAGCCGCTCCACTGGTGCACAGGTCTCCCCTCCTCTCACCCATCTAGAAATAGCCATCACTCCAGAAACTTCTCTCTCTCTCTCTCTCTCCTGCATTATCAATTCCCCCTCCTATTGAAGAATCCCCAACAGCACACAGCATCATTTTTCCGACCATAAAAAAACCTTCTCTTCAACGCCCCCACCTCCTCCAATCATTGCCTTATTTCACTGCTCCGCCTTTCAGCAAAACTTTGCAACAGGTGTGTTCGTGTTCGCTGTCTCTAATTCCTCTCCTCCCGTCCTCTCTTCATCGGGCCTCCCACCTCCCCGATCATCAGCGACAGCCTTTCACTCGACCACGTGGAGCCACTGGGCAGAGCGGACGCCGAGGGTTCGCCCCGCAGAGAGGGACACTTCCCCGCACGCACCTGATTGCCATAGGCGTAGAGGAAATGGCTTCGTGGGTGGAACTTCATTCCCACGGGAGAGAACGATGGAGGGAACGTGAAAACTGGGAATTTCAGTTTCAACCTTAGTTTGTTACTTCTTAGGGAGTATGCACAGGCCATGATCTTTCCCTAGAAACGGATAAAGCATGAGCGATCAGAAGAGTTTTTCCACGAACAATCCTAGTCTATGTGACAGGTTTTCGCTTCCTGTCACTCGGATGATTAAGATGGGGACCCATTAACACAGCCTAGGATTGGCAGGACTGGCAACCACTGATATCTCTTTACCCTTCCCCCCGCCATACACATCCATGTAATAGCTTGAACATGAAGTTTAGGAGACTAAATAATTTGTCCAAGGTTCTATAATAAATGGCCGAATGACCGAACTCAGCAGAAAGACTCCAACGCCCATGCTCATAACTATCACTTCAAACTATGTTTTCAAAGCGTGGGGCCCCAGGCCACACTCCAGTTCTCTTTGAACATGGTCTTGAAGGGGATCAGACTATGCACCCCAACATATGCCACTTTGTTGTACAGAGTATTTGAAGCTGAAGACATCTGAGCTGAAGACATCTGAGATTCAACAGATGCAGGAAAAAAAGCCTCCCCTTATCTAAAAGCAGCAACGCTGAGAAAGAAGACTGCCATCGGTTTGTCTTCGGGGCAGAGCTGCTCCCAGAAGGGGGACCGCGGCTAAAGCTGCCCCAGTTCTTTCCTGCAGGGAAGACCATCACCTGAGGGAGGCCAAGAGGCCGCTTACACCTGTGCAAACAACGTCGCCCTCTCCTGCTTGTGGGCAGAGCCGTCACCTTTCCATGGCTTTGGCCTTCAGTGCCCTCCTCTCCCCCTTCATCTCTTAGGGTCGCATGCAACCCCACATTGTAACCACCTTCTCAAGTTACTCATCACGGACTTTCACCTGCCTGTATACACACTACACACATAAATCGTTTTATTTTCTCCGGTTACTCTGTCTTTTGTCTGTTTCATTAATGGGACCCTGGTTACTGAACCTAAGAGGGGAGAGAAAATTTTTTTTTCTCCCCTAAAAATCAAAGGGTAGGGCTGAACTTATACATATGTTTAATGGCTCTGAGAAAAATTCGAATTCACAGTTGGGGTCGAGACCCTTTGGAATAGAAAATACAGGTCTGTGGCAATTTAGTTTCATTATTTGTTCATCTACACTAACCGCTCCTACGAAATGTTAAACTCATGTAGAACTAACTCGGCTTATATTCTCAGGGGAGTAAGGGAAGAATCATTCCACAAACAAAACCGTGTTTTCCATTTCCATCCAGCCGAATGACACTCCGAGGCAAGAAATCTCGAAAGTGTCTTCATCTAGATTATTAGCCAAAAACCATTTTGCTATAGCGAATTTTGTCAATTTCTACTGCCAAAGAGAACAAGACCTCAGAAAGAGTTTTGCCTAGCGAAATTTTCATTGTAGCGTCAAGAGCGGTCACCTCCGGGCTGCAAGGCCTACCTCTTCATTTAAGAGGTGGACTCCAGAATTATAATCGTGGTCCACAAGAAATGTTATTACAGTTGGAAGGATCGTTTTACTTCTTGGAAGCTGAGGTAAGCAAGATAACCATTCCAAAAATGGCTCTTTGCTATAAAAACAAGAGCTTGCCTACAAAAAGAGAAAGGAAAAGTTAACGTTTTTTTTTTTGTTTGTTTTTTAAATATGTCTTTATTGATTTCAGAGAGAGGAAGGGAGAGGGGGAGAGAGAGAGAGAGAAACATCAATGATGAGAGTCATTGATTGGCCGCCTCCTGCACGGTCCCCGGGGAACGTGCCCTGACCGGGAATCGAACTGAGGTGTCCTGGATCCTAAGTTGATGCTCAACCACTGAGCTGCGCCTGCCGGGCTAGGTTAATGTTGTTTTTGACATGTAAGTTCTAATTAGTTCTCTTTAGCAAATAAACTAATGACTGACTTCAAATAAAAGTATTCAATCTTTAATGTCTGTGCTTCTCTTCTGGGGGATGAGTTCAGAAAGCATCCCTTTCTGGCACGGATTGTGTTTCTGGAACCACTGTGCAGGTTTAGGTTTAACACAATTAGGTAATCGCCATTAAACCCAAGTAGAGGTGCCACTGGGAGCAAAGAGTAATCGTTAAGCCTTTCAGCCTGTAGAGCTGCTGTTGTCTTAGATGAATAACAATCCATAAAATCGTGTATAATAGAATTTCTTACCTTTCAAAATATTCAATGCCATACCTCACTTAAAGTCCTGTTTCTCTCAAAGGTGACAGTAATATAGTCAACTATAAGAGATAAAGGTACGGAAATTACAAGCAGCATCTATATTTCTAAATGTATCACTAAATACACCCCGAATCAATTTTCTTGCACTTCTCTCAGGGCGTGCCTGTGGTTTCAGATTTAAATGAGTTGTTCCCCTTAGTGTTAAGCCGTGAACTTATACAAAACAAGCCTATCTTTACATTTTGTCCTATTTTTGCTTTGTCATTTCGTCTCATCTATATGTGCTATTCATGTTGGGGAAAGCCTGTTAATATCTCTTTACCTAAAACTTACCTTCAAAGTGCTCCCTGTTAGCGAAACATCTTTCAGTGTACCACAGCCTTCCTTTGATGTAGTCGGCCTACATAAGTAAATACAAATATCACTCAGGCAACGTGCGGGCTTAAAGATATAAAATAGAAAGCACATTAAAAAAAATTTTTAAAGTTCAGTAGTTCAGGAATGTGAGGCAAATAAAGAGAAAAATTATATGCAAATAAAAGGTTGTAGAATGAGGGCAGGAAACAATAATAATGCTTTTTGAACAACACATACACACACTCACACACACTCACACGGAATAAAAAGAAATTTCCCGTGAATTAGCCCGTGTTATTGGCAAAGGCCCAGCCCTTGCACTCGTCTTTTGGAAGCTGTGGGGTGACAAGCCTTGCGTCACAGTCCCCGGGGCCACGTGCCACCGTCTGGTCTTCACTGAGCGAGGCAGGACTAAGGGCTCTTCTCAGAAGCCCGGCGGTGGCCAGAAGCGATAAAACAGCCACAAAAAGAGAGGTTTCGAAAAACTGGTCGGGAGAGAGAAGCTTCCAAGAAGATGAGGTTGTATACGTTGGATCCGGATTACATGCAAGAGTCTGAGATGGTGTTTTTGTTATAGGAAGATTCCGACTTCCAAATTATTGTCAAAACAAAAGGGAGACATTCTTACGTTTTGATAGGGTGGTAATAAAATCTGTATAATCTGTGCATTAAAATCCTTTTAAATGTTCTAAAATTGATAGCGGTGATGAGTGCACAGCTCTGTGAATATCCTGAAGCCCATTGAATTGTACACTTTAAATGGGTGGATTTTACGCTATGTGCATTATGTCTCAAGAAACCAAACAAGCAAACAAAAATGCCTTTTAAAACAGAATGCACGCCAATTTATTTGGATGGTGTGGTATCCCCAAGCTAAGGTATTATATCGAATGAAACTTCGGAGTTCTTAAATAAATCTTCAGGTTTTCGGGACGCCATAATTATCATTACGCTACCTGAGCAATCAATGTAGAATCTTTATTGGGCCCTGACTTGACGCTTTTCTTTCTCGTTAGATCCCTTCTCGTTTATTTCCTACCTGGAATCCGGTATCTTAGGGGGGAATTTCATCTGATCAGGTTGACCTCATTCCACAGGATGAGCTCATGACCCGGGTCCGACTCGGAGTCACAAGGACTGGTCAGGAATGAACACAAGATCCAAGACATGCCAATGAGTCGGGCCCGAGAGTTGCTGGAGCTACTGGGAAAGAGATGCTGTGTTCCTGCTGGGACTGCTGAACGGGTCGCCTGTGAACCTGGTGGCTCTCCTTACGGTTGGAGAAAACGTGCTGAGAGTGAAGCTAATGGCTGGCAAGGATGGCTTGAGGCGCAGGGTAGGTGTGACTGCTGTCTAAAGAAGGTATGGAAGGCCCTGACCATACAGGAGCTTGTATGTCTCGCACGAGTTAGAATTGTGCCCTTGAGGAAGCGACCTGAAGTCCCTGCTATTTCTACTAAACAGATTTTGGTGGCCAATGGATGTTTCCTCATGCCAACTTCCCAGTTTAGCATCTTTGCACTTACTATTACCTCTGTTTTTAAGTGCTCCTTCAAGTCAGTCAAGTTTCTGCTTAAATTTCACTTCCTTGGCCCTGGCCGGTGTGGCTAAGTGGTTAGAATAACAGGAATAATCTATATTGTGACTTCTTATCTTCCATCTTGTCTCTTAGGGCAACCAAGGAAATACATCTTTTAACCAACCCTTGGAAACATAAAGCTTCTTACCCTTTCAAAACCACAAAAGTCTTCCCTTGTAAACTAGAAAGAAAAGAAGGGAAAAAAAAGGAGCTTTAATTTTTGCTTGATATGAGACGGCATAACAAAACATAGCAATTTAAATTATACTAAAGGCAGTGGTTCTTTTATATGCCAGCAGTTAGGAGAGTCACACTGAAACCAGCCTCTTAAGTAGTTTACACAATATCCTGGAGCTTTTCCCTTCAGTCTTCACCTTGTTTCACCGTTTGATTAATTTATTTATACCTTCACTTAATTCCAGAAAGGATTTGGGATCCAAACCCCATTTGTTGATGATTTAAGTAGAGGAGTGAAGAAGTGTGCAGAAGGACACCACGCCTGGCCCCCACATGGGATCACTGTCACTCTCCCCAGGGCGCCTTCTGCCCCGCCCAGCGCAGCACTAGACCAGGCCCTCTGTGCCTTGACTTAGAGTCTCTGTTCCTGGGCCTGCTACTCTCTGCTTCAACGATCACACGGGAAGCACATAGGAGGCCAGATTAGGGGTCTGGGCAACAAAGGGAACTTTCTCAGGGACAGTGAGGAAGGAGGGGAGGCGGTGAACATCCGCACACCCGAAGGACGGCAACAATTACCACGCCTACGAAATGCCCGTCTCTCCGCCAAGACAACGGCCTCTTCCGCACTCACCCTCCTCTTTTCTTCTCCTGTTCCTAAATCTTTGTTTCTGCTCTTATTTCCGTCATGGTAATTTCTGAGAGGTATTTATTAACATGCTTAAGAATTTCATTCCATGCATATTGTGTACCTTCACCAAAATGTATATTCCCCTTCTCTCAATCCCCAAAGTTATTTTATGTTATTTTGTAATACTATAGTTAGCTTTATAAATAACCCTAAAGCAATTTAGGAATGTATATAACTATAGGTAGGTGGGAAGGTAGGTAGGTAAAGTGTTTTCTGCTTGTATGTATTTAAAACTTACTATAAATTCGTATCGCAACAACACTAGCACCATTTCCGAGTACTCAACACTGAAACGCGGAGGAAGAAGCCCCTGTATTGTGCTTTTACAGTTTTAAAAGGAAGAGGCATTTCCATTCTGGCCACACAGAGCCACACACAGCCACACGTGATCACACGTAACTCAAGCATTCAATGTCTCTATGTCACGGAAGATACTTAAGGTTAACTATTCATTACAAAGCAGTTCACGTACCATTAGGACAGGGGTTGATCGATGACGAAGGTCTCGACTTACAAAAAGTCCCAGAGAGGTGAGGATCACTAAGAAATGGTTGGTTAAAACCATATCCACTATCGTAAGCTCTTTGTGCCCTAGGGAAGGAATCGTACCATGGGTTACGGGGCAAGAAAAGGTGAAATACTGACTGAACGTTGCTTATAAGCGAAACGCTGCGGACGAGGGCACTGTCAGAAGAATTACCTTCTCCAACTTGGGAATAGACCATATTTGTCAGGTTATACCACCGGGTATCATTATAACTCCAAAATCCAGAATAGCTGAGGCCTATGTAGACACCTACCAAGAGAGAAAAGGGAAATTAAGGCTGGACAACTCTGCGAAGTGAGTAACTCACTTCCACCGTGCTAGGTCTTCAGGGCCAGAGCCTGCATCTGCTCCACTTCCCAACCCATCTCTGCCCTGCCCTGCCCTGCCCCCCCCTTCCCTCCCCTCCGAATTTCACTTCCCCTCCAAATCTCACTTCCCCAGGCATGGAGAGATGAAGTAACTTCAGGTTACACCACAGGATTTTAGCCAACTATCTGATTTAATTATTAAGTTGTTTTTTTATATGGAAGGGGTTCAGAATATGCCACCCAAAATAGGCCACTTTGCCATAAGGATTCTTTTGGGCTGAAGGCAATTCAGAACCGACAGACGCAAGAATAGCTCTCTGTCTTCCCCTTTCTGCCTAAAAGCGGGGCACAAATTTCCCCTAGGGAAAGGTGCCCCATTGTATCAGAAAGAGAACACTCTTGCCACCAGAGATATGAGCTGACACTGAGACAAGTTTGCATAAACAGACCTTACAAAATGACTCTTCTCTTCCATCAGTCCCCCCACTTAATTTCCTAGTTACTTCCCCACAATTGATCATCCTTGGAAGCCCAGATCCCTTTCCTTTGTTAAAATGGTATATAAACTCCCAAGTTTAACTACTACTTGGAGTTTCACTTCTTTTCTGTGAACTCCCTTGAATGTAAATATTAATTAAAAAGACGTGCCTTTTCTCCTGGTAGTCTTTGATCATTTAATTTACAGACCCCTGGGACAGAACCTAAGGAAGCAGATGAAGAGTTTTTCCTTCTTAACATCCTCTGAGCATAAATATGTTCCTATATCATTAGCACGATTTTAGTAAACAACAAAAAAGTAAATCCAAAGAAAATAAAATGTAAACTCCAAGAGAGAAGAAACTATGTTTGATGTACTTTAATATTTGTGATTTTAAAAACAGAAAAAATATTTGCTAATGCCTCATGAGAACCTATTAAAAAAAAGACCAAACATTTTGCAAATACTGAAAGGACTTTTGTTCCTGGATCCCACCTTTCCTTGGCCACAGCCAGGAATGTTGAGAGTCTTTTGTGTTTTAAATGTGGAATGTTAATTTGAAGTCTAGTCAACAGTCCTAACATCATAACCATTGGGGGTTAGGGGTGTGGTGGAGTCCAGAGGGCCTGAAGACAGTTGACAATCGAATGCATATACTCTGTTTCTAAAAGATGAATGTAGGAGCAGTCACACTGTAAAGGATGTATTTTAACTGCCAGCTCTTCTCTGTGTAGGGGAAAATGCAGGCAGAAGCGTTTTATCATCTGCCTTGACCTGGTAGAGAAAAGCTATAGATAAGCTTTGCCTTTCTATCGAGTTCTACAGATCACAGTACACCATATCCTAAGCGGGGGTGCTGGTAAATGTCAAGCACGATGTTACGTGACCAGGCTCCAGCAAAGTTCAGAGATAGCTTCTGCTTCCTTCTGGTTGATATTTTAGGCTGAAATTAAGTCACAGGCCGCTCCCTACGACACGCTGGCCACAAGTGTTTCCCAGGGTTACAGAAGCAGAGCTGGACCATTGTGAAGGGCCTGGGTTTTACTCTAATGAGCCTGTGATGTGATCTGATTTACACTTGAGAAGATCACTCTGGTGGCTGAATGGAGGGTGATTATATGGGGACAAGACTACAAACAGGGAGACCACTGAAGAGGCTGTCAGCCAGTCTCCTAGAAAAACAGTGTTGACTTGCCACAAGATTTTAGCGGCCGTGAGAAGTGGTCACCGTGGGGGTAGATGCCGGGTATGGCACCATCCTGGGATGTCATGAGAGTCCGAGCAGCCAAGAATATGTGCCAGATTTCAGTTTGAATGGATAGGATGTTAATTAGGAAGAGGAATACCGGAAAGGAACAGATTTTAGAGGGAAATGAATCACGAGTTCTGGATTAGACTTGTGGTACTTGAGTTGCTCATTAGATCTCCATCAAGAGGAAATGGAAAATCGACAACTGAATGCAGGTGTTTGGTCTCAAAGGGGTGGTGAGCACCAGAAATGGAGACTTGGGAGTCGTCAGCCTGGAAGTGGCATTACTGCCATGACACTGGATTCGGCTTCCCAGGGAGAGAAAGTGTTTACGTAAGGAAGGGGGAGTCAAGGACAAACCCCAGGGGTTCATGGCCAATTTAGGGTCACACTGAGAGGGGCCAGCCTGGAAAACTAAGAAGCTGCCCAGAGTCAAGACGAAAGCCATCAGAGGTGGTGTGGAGAAAGCCCAGAGAATAAAATGTTTCAGGCAGAGCTCGGCCGACCGGGTCAAATGCTGCTGCAAGAGAACTGGCGACAGGGGGGCCGCGGGGG